CGAGCAGCAGACATAAACGAGATATTATTTCGGACTTGCCATTGAGTCCCCTTTTAGAAAAAGAAAACAGAGGTTTTATCTAGAAATACGCTACAGAAATTCCTTATTGTGAGTCGACTAGCTGGTCGTCGCAGTGGGCAAGCTGTATGTATTATCACTCATAATTTGGACATGATGATGTATGACATTGATGCACCCGAGCTGAGCTAAATCTGGTTCGCATCGATAACAAAGTCAAAAACAAAAAGTCTCTCACGTAGTTCATTCGCATGTGTTTCAACTTAAACCTAAATATGAATCAACTTGTGGGTCTGAAGTATGGGTTTAAGTTTGTCGTAATGATATTCGGTAGTTATGTCGTTGGTTGCTGGGACTTGAGTTGTTTTACCAGCTTGAATTTTTCTAACTACGAAAATTATACGTCTTTAAGCAATTTTTTGCAATGATAGCTTATTTTGATCGCATTGGATCGTATGTCCTAAACGATGGAGTCGTCACTTAAATTAATTAAGTTAAATAGAAAACATGTTAATCTAGCTGTTACTAAGTGACTCTATTAAACTGAGCTAGGGTTTATGATAAGAATCAACTGAAGACATACACGCAATCAAAGTATATTTGTTTGTGGAGGCTTTCCGCGGAAAACTTAATTGTTTACTAATTTCAAGTTTTACGTGGTACTGCCGTTTCAGTTCGCTGGTCTGACGTCCGCCAAAATTCGAATCCAGACCGCCGCGTGTCAACTTTAGCAACAAAATAAGTTAGCCACTGTGTTATCACGGGCACGCGCTAATTCATGGGGGGGTACTAACTTGATTAACACAATACTATTAAAAAATGTTCTCATATTGATTTGGTTTGTCGCCCATTGACCAGAATTACAGTCTTAATACTAAATATTTTAATAGGGCAAACAAGTTCCGTAGTCCATTATCAAATACGGCAAAGAACTGGTAAATAATTAATTTGTAAATGTGTAGTGAGTTTTTTTAAATATTATTTGGAACATATAATATAATCATACCTAGATTAAATTATCATCATAATAAAAAGTACTTGTCGTTTTTCCAGCCACAGATATGGGTCCATTCCTGGCGACTTTGCGACTATTACGTTACCTCCTTAGGCAACAGTTTTTTTTTTTTTTTTTTTTTCTAATACTAAGGCATAGTTCTCGTGTGTTTACTTTGGAATTTTCAAGTCTAATTTTTAGGAACGAATATATATATATACTGTTAGGTAAGCTAATTAGAATAAATATTGTTCGATAAAAATCTATTTATTAACTCATCGATTTCATAGGTATGATATCGTATAAAGGCCTTGTGCTATAGGTCGTAAATAATTCACCTTAATGTGTCCTACCACAAGGCAATGAAGCTGAGCTGTTACCTCGCGTTGTGAAGCTATTGCCATTGTACTGATTCAAAGGACATCTTTCGCACTGAACTAATTTTATGGCTTTTTCTACGGCGAGTCAGAATTATCTGCAATTCTATGCACGAGAACACAGCTGGTTCGCATCTTTTAAAGTTTATTTGTAAATAACGCGATGACAGTACTAGATGAACAATTTGGTATACAGGAAGTCAAAGATGTGAGATCGTGTCTCGCTTCTGCGAAGACCAGCTACTTCAGCGAAGTCCAACCGCCAACGATGTGGCAGATATCGTGCACGAGTGGAAGCACGAGCTGGATACTTAGTACGAGCTGACTGAACGCCAAGACCATTTCGAGAGTACGCTATGAAGGGCTCACAAAATGAGGCCCAGTTTGGCTGTGAGTTCTTGACGATAGCCTGAATGTGCTGTGATTTCAAACGAATGCTACAATCTTACATACTATTGCTATTATTGCTTCATGGACAAAATAAAGTTGGATGTCGAATATGAAAACCCCGGCACACCATATTCGCATGAATGGCAGGGAAGGTTTTCGCTGATTGGTACGATAAATGTGACCGTCGCCGTCATAGTTCAGTTGTCGGTAGATCGTTTGGTTCCTTTCCTTGCAAACTGTCAGCCAGGTAGACACCTTAGATAGTGTTGTCAGGTCCGAAATCAGGACAGCAAAACGGATGACAGCTTTAGTCATTAAGGTACTATGCAAAGCCGTATGATAATTTAATGCGCAACCATCAGAACCCTAAAGTATCGCGTCATTTGCCATGCTGAGCTGTACGGTAGGGTTTATAGGAAAACGTCTACGAAGTCCGCCAGTCTCTACGCCGATAATTTCTTTCACTGACTGCTTTCCACGATCACACGTAGCACGTCGTAACGATGCGTATGGTGCATCAGCCCTCCAACGAAGACGTTTGCAACTGTTAAGCGTCTGTTCTAGCAATCGCTTAGACGGAGTCCCGAGCACTTCATCGATGGAACGTATAATCATTTCTGCCAAATCCAATGAGTGAAAGTTCCCGGGTCCAAGAACGCATCCAAATGACCTCATGTTATAGCCATCCATGGCATCCCTAAGAAAGCTCTGATCATACATAATGTTGCAAGCGACTGTTACAAAGTCTGTTGATTGTCTATTGTTACATAGCACTACGTTATACGACGTCGTGTCGCCAAGAGTAACCTTTATCGACAATGTAAAGCTAGGAGCAGATCCGGAATTGTAGGCCATAACACTTGCTTGCCTCGTACCAGTTTTGTGAAGGTGATTCGAGCGAAACGCACCAAATATACAATAGTATAGTACTTGAATAACCTATGCTATGGCACACAGCTGGTTGAAGACCGAACCATTCACATAGACAGCAAGTTAGCTTTGAAAAGGCAGGTAGCGATCATGTTTTTGTTCCTCTAAGGCCATAATGCTGCCGAAATTTATCGAGGAGTAGGCAAGGAGGCCCTAAGCACAAGCGCAGTATGCGAAACGTTTCAAGAATAGACTGTTGAAGACTACTAAGGAGGCGAACAGAGGTCGGAACCTGGTAAACAAGAACGTATTACTGCATAGAATAGATTTGATATGAAAACAGAGCTTTAAGGCTTTATGGACTCTGTTGGCCAAAGGTAAGATTTTATATATAACTCGTGACAGAATGGTATATGCTGTTTTTTGTCATTACCATGTAGTCCCTGCTCCTGCCATCCCTGCTAAAAGTTGTATTTTCTGGAACTTCAGTTCGGGTTATTCTTTCTCCAATGTGTGGGTTGGAATTTCTTTAAAGTTTCATATAGAATTATACGCGTTATCGTTTTGATACCGGCTTTAGCTAATGGATATGAGAGGATGCAAGCAAGCTTTATGTCCTTTGACAGTTCTGTCAATTATATGACCGACCTAATGTAAGATAGCCTCCGATATCCCTGGGTATCGATAGTTCTCTACTTGGAACATTGGCATTATAGCTGTGTTGTGCGTTTACTCTAAGCCAATTAGTTTAGTACCGTTAATTTTAAACAAAATCAAGCAGTGCTTAATTATGCTTAAAGAACGAGTAATGACCTATTGATTTGGAACACTATAATGAATTTATCGTTGTAAAATATACGTCCGATCGCAGTTTTCGCTCTAAAGGCCTTTGAAGTATTTACATGCGTCCTAGATTCGAACAGTGCCTGAAGTATACTCTGTTGAGTAGACTTCAGGCATACGCACTTGAAAGCGCGCTACTTCGAATAGAATAACCGTCAATTTGAGCTCAACAAAACTCTATCAAAGCATAATTAATCTTTTTGACTGGGTTCTGTGTTTGCTTTCACTACAAACAATTAAACCCGATTGAAAAAAACAAGCGTTTCCAAATGATGTGCTTTATGGAAGGCACGGGAATAAACTGAGACGAGAAAATTCGCTAGGAAAAACGTGCTGGGCATTGAGTTAAGGAGTAACTCAATGCCCAGCACGTCCACAGTCAACGCTGCTTTAAAATTGAAATATTAGAAATATTTCAACTACCGCAGTGTCACTCCTCTTGAAACCTGTAACGTCGTTACAAGAGGAGGAAGAATGCCAGTAGCAGTTTCTACATTTACATACGCACTAGGTGTGCACGTGTTCCCTCTGTGTTTAGGGTTCTAAGTCAGGCTTAGGATCAGGCTTAATCTGCCGTACGATTTCTCAAAGGTGTGATAGACTAGCCAAATGAAATCAACCCTAATGGATCATCATAGCAAAATACGTTGCATATATTCTCAGTAGGAGCGGCGATATAACCGCTTATAAAGAGATCACCTCAATTATGTAAACCGCGAACTACGGACTCAGCAAGATGAAGCTGATGAAGCCGAACTAATAGAAGTGGGCGATAGTCCGTACTGTTGCAGTATATACATACATACGCACGCCCGCATACGGTATTCTACTATGGTATTCCACAACCGATACTGGTCCCATGAAAACAGAAGGCTGTCAAGCTATGATCACGTAGACAATGCCACTGAAAACAAATGCAGTTCTCGTGCTTGAATATACATTTATTAAATTTACTTAATTACAATTAATTTTTTGCTGGTAAGTTAATATTTTTCACCGCGGTTCCGTTCTGAACATTAGCACAATAAATATCCAGGATGATCAATGCGAGTTGTTGTTGTCGCTTGTTTTTGTAGGCATGTCATCTCTGTTCACTTAATCAGTATTTCTCTTCTTCGGTATCTTCATTCCTCCATCCTGCTTTTTCTGCCTCATCCATCGAATGTCTTCAATGTAACCTTCCTGGTCGCCTAATGCTTTTAATGATAAAAATACATTACCTACTATAATCAACGCTAATATATAGGACTCGACATATATAATATATATATATATATGTATGTATATATA